ATTTTTTTGAAGTGATGTGATGGGAAATATGTGGTTGAAAATGAAGGAAAAGTTATTGATGTGATGGAAAATATTATTTTATTAAAAAATGTGTTGTTGAAAATGAGTAGAAAAGTGAGAATAAAAAAAATAATGGGGGTCAAACAAGGGCTAAAACAGATTACAGATAAAATGAACTTAAAACAAATAAAAACTACTTTAGAGCCCGTTTGGTAGAGATTAAAATCGGATTAAAATTGAAAAAACTAGCCGTTATTGTTGACTTTTATTAGACGAGTGGGATGGATTAAAACTAGCCCCGTTCGGGAGGGATTAAAATCCAATTAAAATTGAAAATATGACCGTTATTGGGTCCCACTCGTCTAATAAAAGTCAATAATAACGACTATATTTTCAATTTTAATCTGATTTTAATCACTCCCAAATAAGCTTTTAATATTGATGATGTTGTCTTGAATCACTTCTCTGACTTGTTCTGTAAGCACTCTGAAAGTCACAAAGAATTATCTAAAAACATAAAATATTTCTAATTTTATAACCAAGAACCAAAGACCAAAAAGGTTCCCTCCAAGCCTCTAGATTTAAAGATCCAAAGTTTAAAATGCTAAAAAAAATATAAATAATTTTGCAATGAAACTCAATGATATTTTTCCTCACTTAAGCCACACATTTTATGATGAAAGAATTCTGCTTTTATTCATAAATTTCATACACATCATTTGGAAAAAAAAGGTATAAAGATAAGGATAGACCTAGAAAATTTGATTTCAAAAAACAAACTGAAATCTGAAGAATATTCATATTGCAACAAGTGTGCAACATGACAACGAGTTTTCTAAAATGGTGAAATTTCTCATTCAAATTTATCCCCACAAATATAATTCTAAAATCATATTTTTTGTAACTAAAAAATATTTTTAAAGTACAATTAAATCACAAGAGATATTAAACGAAAATAAATTGTATTTTCTGCGAAGATGGAGCTCCAATCTTGTTGCGGTAGAAGAAGAAGTTTCAATATTCTTCCCTCAGCAAGTCAACGCCCTCATCTCATTGCTTGTTGTCTTGTCACAAAAATAATGAATCGATGTTACCTTGTCTGCAAAATAATAAATTTTTACTACTCTGTTAGCTTTGCTTTAGGCTACCGCGTCAAGGGTTCGAATCCTGAAATATGAATTTGATCATTGGGTAAGTGCAAGTGTACAAGTTGTCTTCCACCCTGTACCTTTGGAGGCATAACTTGCGATTTACCTCTTTCACCAAGGCTTAGGACAGGACATGACATGTGCGGGTCGTCAAGGATGCGACTTATCCTTTTTTTGTCATTGGAGTATTGGAACATTGATGGATTGTCATTCTAGGAAACTATGACCCTACTTGTTTATGATTAAAATCAAATTTTAATCTAAGTTAAAGTCAAACAATCAATATTAACTACATCTTTCATGGGTCTCATAGCTTTTCAACCACACGTTTCAAAAACTTCTATCACAATCTACTAAAAATCTCATTTAATCCCCACCAAATACTCTCTATAATTGAAAGGTCAACTTCCTTCCAACAAGAGTAAGAACTTAGTCCGTTTGACAACTTTGGGAAAAAATCAATATTTTGAATTGTGATTTTTAAGAGAATGTGTGGTTTAAAAGTATGAAAACGTTTTGAGTTTACGTACAAAATATTTTATTTTGTGAATGTTGAAAATGAATATATAGAAAAACGAGCTTTTAAATAATGGTTGTCAAACGAAGGTTTATTTTCGATATTTTTGAGAGTATAGATGAAAATGGTTTTTAATGTAATATATAAATTTATTATATTGACTTTTTTAAACTTCAGACATTGCGTACTAAATTCTTGGATCCGTCCCCTGTCTACCAATGTTGTTCCCCTGTCTACCAATGTTGTTAATGCTCCTTTCCTCACTGTCATCTTACTACAATCATTTTGGTGATGGCCTAACAACAGTGATAGCACTTTACACCACTTCCACTCCACCCCATCGGAAGGGTAGTAGGTACCGCATGCCCCAGTCGAGAATTGGGACGTGCTTTTTGATCCCATCAAATTAGCTAGCGACATAGCAGGTGTTAGAAAAGTACTGCCAACAGTTTTAGCTGCGACACTGACTTGTCTATTGTCAAAACCACTAAAACTATAACTCCTACGTCTAGCTCACTATTTTTCAAGCTAAATTGCATGCTTACACGTTTCCAAAATAAACACACAAGAAAAAAATTAAGGCCCTGTTCTCTTTGTCGTTTTCCAGCCGTTTTCTGTTTTTAATTTCTCAAAACAGCGAAAACGCGTTCTCTATCTTATTTTCGAAAACGCGTTTTGAAAAACGAAGAAAAAAATATAACTGAAAACGGAAAATGACAAAAACATTGTTTTGTAAAAATTTTGGAAAAACAAGGTAAAAATTGAAAACACGCGAAACGCCCAAATCCCTCACTGTAGCTGGTCCCTCCCTCTCAACTCCCTCACTCAACTCCCTCTCAACTGCCTCACTCAACTCCCTCTCAACTCCCTCTGTAAATCTAACACCAGCAGCAACGTGCCAACCACATCGAAGGCACTGACGACAATTGAAAAATCAAATTTTCTTGAATAAAATATTATTAAAAAAATTCTCAAAATTTCAAAGTAAACGCGTTTTCCATTTTTATGTTTTCAAAAACTGTTTTCAGAATGATAAAAAGAACGCGTTTTCAGAAATTTTAAAACAGACACTCAAAACACAAAATATAAAACAAATTCAAAACTCAAAACACAAAATTGAAACACAAAGAGAACGGCACCTAAGCATTTCTTGAAATTTAATACCTAAATCGCCAATGTGCTTGGAAACCAAATGATCCTTGGACTCATAATCGAATCTCCCATTCGTCAATAAATATTTCATGTTAATGCTTAAGGGTTACGCAAATGGGAGTTTGCCTTTGTTTGTTAACTGAGAGAAGCAACTGAAGTTCCTTGTTTGTGGAACTGGCAAATGATGTCTTTGGTCAACAAGTGAATTTTTTTACGGACTCCATTGAAATGCCCTTACAATGCATATTTTAGCAAAAGTTTGGAATAACTTTTTAAAAGGATTTCAGACCTCGCGGTGCAAATTTCCCTAAAATCAAGGGCAAAAAGGATCAATTGCACACTAAACACAAGGGATAGGGAGGTCTATGCAAAGAAACAAAAAATAGGGACCATTTTCATACTGTATGAAAATATTGACGACCATTTTCGCCAAATTCCCATAAATTTCTCAATAGGATTCAATGGAAAAATTCAAAAAGAGAGGAAAAGAGGACAGAAGAGAAGAGAAGGAGAGGTCTGGTTTTTTCTAATCAGGGATCGTAGTTTAGAGGGAATTTTTCTGACTTGATGTCGAATAATAGTAGGGGCAGTCGATTTATGTTGTGCGTTTGATAGAATAAAAATGGATGCTGGATGTGTAGATAGCGGCAAACGGCGGCTGCCAACGTGGATGATGGGTGTGGCTACAGCTGCTGACCCAGTTGGAAAAAATTCCGAATCCAATAACGAAGAACGCGAGAAGGTGCCGGAAGGGGATTCGCGCGGAAGAAAGAAGCAGCAGCAAAGAAATCTCATTGGACAAGATGGTGATTCTGATGGTGGGGTTATAAGAAATGGGGGCAAAAGGAAAAATTCGTTATCAAGGGTAGTTCCTAGAAAGCATCGAACTGATGACGTATGCGATACTACCGTGAGAAAGCGAAAAAGTAAAGCAAAAGCTTCAAGCATTATTGAGAATGGAGAGGAAATCGAAGGTACTTTGACTGGCGAAAAGGATGAGGATTTGACTATGGAAGACATTCTGAGCATTGCTAAAGAGGTAATTTACTCACATTCATCAATGATTCAACGTGTTTGTTAACTAACAGAAAATAGGCTTCTTTTGATTAGTAAAGCTATTAAGATATCGAAAACTGGAGAAAAATAATTTTTCAGCGTTTTCTGTTTGTAAATACGTCAATGAATATTGAGCTGAAATATATTGCTTGTAGTTTTCTTTATGCACTCAGGCAATTCTAGTGTAATTTTATATGTAAAATAATATGAAAAGAGGAAGAAGTTGATAAGAGTGTAATGTCGAATTTGTTAAGACATTTATAATGATAGAAGGAATTATATTTAACATGGATTGTGTCGAAAGATTCTCATTCTCCGTAGTGACAAAAATAAAAATAAAAATGAGGACAGAGATAGTGAGATCGATCATATCCTTCATGAAATTCTTGAAAAGAAGTTTTAAAAGATCATTGAATATGGAGATTTCAAAAGGGAAATAATTTGTATTGAGATGTAGTCTTGTTCAAAAAAACGAGCCTTTAGACGGAGGGGTGGAACTAGAAACAAATCTTAGGGTGCGCTAAAATTAAGAAATGATATAAGGGAAATGAACAAAGGCTTAGGCTAAAGACGAGCCTTCATTCAGCAGAAATTTCTGTCTGATTTCTAAATGTAATTATCACAGTTACTAACATATGAAACCTCAACTTTCAAGTGGGTAAATGTTATTCCGTTTAAAAGGGGATACTTCATCGATAGTGCTTCATTTCTATGTCTATATTTCAAATTGTCCATCTTAAAAGTGATGGAAAATTTTCTTAACCTAATAATGATGAACTGGTAGAGAAGATAGCATGTGGTAGCTGCTCCAACTCAAAAGGGGATTCGTCCGGAAGAAAGAAGAAGAAAAGAAACTTCACTGAACAAGATGGTGATTCTGGTGGTTGTGTAATAAGAAATGGGGACAAAGAGAAAACTGAACGTCCTCCTAGAAAGCCAAAAAGTAAAACAAAAACTTCAAGCACTGAGAATGGAGAGAAAATTGAAAATGGTGAGGATTTGACTATGGAAGATTTAATGAGCATTGCCAAAGAGGTAATTTACCTTTTTCTCATCAACAAATCACTATGTTTGTGGGAAGGATTGTGCTACATGTATATAATCATTTATATAATGGTTTACCAACAGATGATGTGACGAGATTTAAATGGATCAAAATCTTATTAATTAAATAATTTCCCCACTTACATTTTGACATATCATCATTATGTAACCCATTATGTAAATAGTTATGTACAATAAGCATTTTCCTTGTGGAAATTAATAAAAATAGGAAGCTAATAAGATTTCAAAAACCTGGAAAAATATATGTAAAACTAATCTGTGTTGTGGTTTTATGTTCATTAGTATGTCAAAGAAGATGAATTTGTCGCACCTACTCAATCATCATTGAAAGGCCATTCAGAAGAAATTACTGAGTTACAAGTCTCTTGCCATGGCTCTCAATATGCAATAATGGAAAATGAAGAGTTGGTTCCATCTCGTGTTTCAAAAACTAAAGAGATTGTTGTTGAGCCAAATATGTCAGGGGATCCTACTCAGGACATGTTGGATTTGTTTTTGGGTCCTCTGCTCAAGAGAACCCAAGAAGAAGAAAAGAAAACCAATTTAATTTCAGAGGAGATGAGTTTTGCCTATGAAATCAAGAAACAAAAACACAGTGTTGTTGTTAGGGAAGAACATGCTCCTTTGACAAAGAAGAAGAGCAGTCTCAAGGAAAAGGTTGCTATGTTTCTGGACTGAATGATATGATACATTGAAATTCATTTGAGACTTGAAGTTGCAACCATCTTCATTGAGGTATGCATATTTATTTCTGTTTGCATATTAGTTTGAAAGTTGTACAGTCTTTTGCTGTTGAGTCTTGTAGGGATATTATTATGATGATAGCAAATTCTCTCAAAGATGAGATATTTATATCTGTTCATTAGGATATGACGCCTTTATAAATATATTTACGGCCTAGTATGCTGGTTGCATTTCACAGACTGAATCATTATTTAATGGAATGTCTTTGTTCGTTTCTTGTTTCAGTTGTTTAATTTTCTCTTACAATTAAGCATAAGAGAGGTTTAAAAAGGATTTCTTTCAAGCAGAGGAGACATTAATCAGTTTGTTGTTAAGAGAATTTCTTTCGACCTGAGAAGGGGTTAAATAATGTAAAATTATATGATCAGGCACTTCACTGTGCATTATTACATTGTTCCTATACTATCTCATTTCGAGTACTGAAATAAACATATAATTGCATTCTGCTTCGTTGATAATCAGATTTTCATATTGAGGAATAAGTTCCTTGTATATCTTTCATGACAGCTGAAAATTCCAGTAATTTCTGAACTTTTTATAGGTCATGCTTCATTATATATCCCTCTGCGCCAATTACGGTATTCAGAAGATTCGAACTTTAATATTCAGAAAAAATGACAGAGGAGTTTCCAATTATAAGTAGAGGAATAGAACTTGGAAAGTTTGCAGTAATAAGGGAACAGAGGAAAAGCGAAGTTAGTAGGTCTAGTAGTTTCTTGAATCTAGAGTTCGCGCACATGATTGGCGGTGATTCTCTCCTTGGGATCTTGACATCTTATGATGCATAACAACTGTCAATGGAGTATTGCAAATCATCATTTTGGTTTTAAGGTTTGTGCTAATTGAGTTTATGGGACATTGAGATAAATCCATCATGTTAGTATCATAGTTTACGCTCGTTTGGTAGGGCTTCTGTTTTTGTCTCTATTTCTTGTAGAAGTGCTTTTTGAAGAAGCTACCTTGTGCCAGCTTCTTCAAAAAGCTCTTCTAGTCTAGCTAGATGAAACGCTTCCAGAAAAATATCGAAACATATTCAAAAGTAGTTTTTTAGTTTGAGAAGCAATTTTCGACTTTTCAAAAGCCATGCCAAACGTGCCCTCATTCTTTCACCATTTAAATGGGAAAGAAATATGAAAAGGAAGTCTTTTGCCATTCAAATTGCAAAGAAATAAGAAAAGGAAGAAATAGTAAAATTTAACCTGTCTTTTTATGTGCTTGCGTCTATTACAAGTGATTATTCTCATTCAGTGTCTTCAAATAAACCTTGGAGTAGGGACTTTTATTTTAGTTAGGTCATCTCTGGAATTCACTAATTTTCCATTATTTTAGTTATATAAATAATTCAACAAAAAGTAAAGATTAGATGATTTTGTAAGCAATTAGGAAGTCTGGCTTGTGTTTTGAACGGAAAATTTTAATTAAGAGGGCAAACTCATGAACCAATCCTCCTTGTCATGCAGTGGGTGCCCGTTCCAGAGGCAACAACAATCAACTGTTGCCCTGGCAGATTGCCTTAACTAAAGGTGCGTGTGAAGTTCAGAGTAGCGTGCACACACACTATAAATTTTGCCCAAGTCTACTAAATACTAAGGGATATCAATCACCTAAGCTTCTTAAACATTATAAGATATTGTAGAATCTCATACATATTATAATGGGGCATAAATATGATCTTTCTCTTCACACTTTAGCATCTTATGTAAATATCTTGAATATTTATATTCAAGGACCTATGTAGTATATCTATACGGTTGGATCAAATTCATCTTTTCCTCCTTTTGAGGAGGTGACAACCAAAAAACTAAGCCTTCATTCTAAGCATCATGTTACAGATAGAAATAGTAACAAATAAGGTATCCTCTGGGGTTGTTCGATGGAGGGATCTTGTCCCTACCAATCACCAAAAAAAAAAAAAAAAAATATGATCTTTCTCTTCACACTTTAGCATCTTATGTAAATATCTTGAATATTTATATTCAAGGACCTATGTAGTATATCTATACGGTTGGATCAAATTCATCTTTTCCTCCTTTTGAGGAGGGGACAACCAAAAAACGAAGCCTTCATTTTATGCATCATGTTACAGATAGAAATAGTAACAAATAAGGTATCCTCTGGGGTTGTTCGAGGGAGGGATCTTGTCCCTACCAATCACCAAATAAAAAAAAAAAAGAAAGAAAGAGATTGTGGGCATAACCAATGTTTAAAAAGGCTAAATCAGCTATTTTTCTTCGTGAGGTGAAGAAACCTGTGGATGATTGTATTAATGGTTTCCACAAATTTTGGATTAATATCATGTTTCTACAACTCGAGTAAATACAACCTATGGAAGTACATGACTGTCTTACTGATTTTAAATTTTTTAGAAATCTATATTCTACCTATGAAAATTAACAAATTGTGGATTCGTAGCTTGTTTCAACAGCTTGTGAAAAAGAAGTTAAAATCAATAATCTACGTTTAATCTAGATTTTAACAAATTGTGGATTCATAGCATGTTCCCACAGCTTTCATAGGTTTCAACAAATTGTGGATTCACGGCATGATATTACTGGTTAATAGGATTAGGGTTTAAGTTATGGAGAGCAATCTCTAGTGATACAACAGTTCCATTTTCTTTTAAAACTGCCTTGCCCGTCTTATGTGCTGTCTACAAGTTGTACTTAGTCCCCACACTCGAGTAGTGGTAGCTTTGAGTCCTATAGAAGCTTTTACTTAAGTTGTACCTAACAAGATTATTTGAAAAAAATCAAGTACATGCAATGCCATTTAGGTTACCTATTTGTCTGGAATAATGATGCTAGCACTGAAGATGCAAAGTTAGTCATGAACTTTCGTAATACGTGCCTGCGATTTTTCAGCATTTGCTTATATTCATAGACAAAGACACCATTTTGTGAATGCATACGTATGAAATTCCATTCATTACATTAAGTTTTCAGTCTGTTACTTTGATATCTAAATTCTGTTCCTTTGGAAAAGCATTTTTTTCCTGAATCTATGGAAAAATTATATTTATTTAAAGAAAGGAACCGTTATCCTAGGCAGCATTTTAGTTCAGGAAAAATGGTTAGAAAAAATGTATTTACATGAGCAAATATTGTATATCTTCAGACTAGCCTTGTATTTTACTGTTCTTTTACTTGAATATCGATCACTAAAACCTAAAATGGTAACAAAATGATGTACAAGTATGCAACTAGGGCTGCAAATTTGGGCTTATGAATTCCAAGTAATTTGCTTTCTGATTCCTGATAATCTCTAAGGATATCATTATCATGGCTGTTAACGGCATAGAAAAGAAAATACTCCCTCCGCCCATAAAGATAGTCTTATTTATTTTTTTCACATATATTAAAAATTTTTAGTCAATGTAGTTGAAATAATAAATTTTACTATCATATTTCCTAATATACACTTACATTAATGTAATTAACATTCATTTTCATTAAATTATGCATGCAATATTCAAGGTAATTAACATTCCAAAATCATCCAATACCAATACAAATGAGTGAATGTCATGAAAGATGAAATGTTTCTTTGATTTTTAATTTATTGTTTCACTATAGTTGAATAATGGAGTGGTTTATGTTTGTGATGTCAAAATATATTAAATAGGGGTATATTAGAAAACTAATATATTAACTACACTCTCAAATAAGAAATAAGACTATAATTTGAAATAGACGAAAAAGGAAAACATGATTTTCTTTATGGGACCGAGGGAGTAATAAATTAGATTACCTTTTCACATTGGTTTTTAGAATTGTCATGAAAAGCTTAATCAGTTGAAAAATCCATTCTATTTGTTTATATAGCAAAATTACAGTTTTAAGGATATAAGAAGGAGATTTGAAGCATCTAGTGATTCTATACCAGCCTTGGTACTTCAAGATTTTCCTTTGATCCATAAAATCCAGTTCTTGTCAGGTATAGGTGGGATAGATATGGAAAATTTACAGGTTTCTAAATTTTTGTGCATTAACAAATAGGATGGATTCTTGAATCGTACTGGTGGAATTTATTGGACTCAAAGTCTTCAAGTTGATGTTGATTCTTGATATGTCTTGAGATTATATGGCTCAAGTACATAATCAGTGATCGTGATTGCTTACCGTTGTAGCACAAAAGTTTTAAGTCATTGGTTACGTGTTACTCTTTTGAGACCATCACTCAGTTGTGCCACTACTTTTTAGTTGGAATAAGGAAGCTGATGCGGTGTCAGTCGTGGTTGGTAGGGTCGTTTTCTATAACTTATCATATGGTTGTCGTGGTATTTCTGGTTTCCAATTAGTTCGTGTTGGTTTAAAGCAACATTTTAGGCTGATCCCATTTACTTGTGTATGGTGCTTCGTAGATTGATCAAGATGTTACTTATCGAAATGCATAAAAATTGTCGGGGTTGTTTAAACGAGTAATAGGACCTGTGTCTAGTTGCAGTCTGCGAGCTCCTCTGGTCTAGTTGAACAACTTCCCGCTGGCTACTTTGCACTGTCTTCATACTTGACACAAGCCTTGTTTTGAGTGCTTTAGCCGGGGGGGAGATCGAATGAGAAAATTTGGCTTAAGAGTGCCTCAAATAGGATACCAAACTATTATTCTTGTTTTTGTTTTGTAATATCGAACTCTTCACCAAATCTAGTTGCGATCTGGCCTAACTCAACCATTGGAGAATTGTTGATCATCATACCTCTAATTTGATGGTCGACTAGACAAAATGGGTGTCATCAATCACAATTCTAGAATTTATTATTTCTCCAAAATGGGTGTCAAACACAACTTTATTTGACTTAGAACATAAACTTGGATTAGAAAGAAAGATGAAACTTCCCAAAAATTACATTTATGAGTATTTATACTTCTAATCATATCATATAATTTATACAAAACATGGCTATTTATTGAGGAAATTACACTAAACAAGGTATTTAGTTTTGTCTTTTAAAAAATCAGGTTTATACTTTATTTAATCAAAAATCAGGTTTTAATTTTTATCATTAATATTAATAATAATATTTTAAATTAAAATAATCTACATACCCACCCTACTATCTACCCTCCAAATTTATTTTAAGTATAAAATCCTAACAAAACCCTAAACCATTTCATTATTTCAATTCTCTCGCCTCCACCGCCACCGCCGGCCGCCTCCACCGCCAATGCCCGCCGCCTCTCCCCTTCCCCT